ATGATGAAATAGTATTCCAATATATATATATATAACACATTTATTTTTTTTCAGGTAGGAAGCTTACCCTCCTTTCAATAATTGCGTTCCATTTTGTAATCAGTGTTGGGATCAGTCAGGAGGAGTTTTCTTTTTTTCTGAGTTAGAATAGTGTTTGAACAGACCTGTGTTACACAGGGATCCGGAGGTGGATCCCTCAGGTCCAGGGTTGTCTGAGGGGCCCAGGGTGGCTGGAGTCCTGAGCCTGTAGCCTGCAGCAGGGCGCTGCACTGGGAATAGCCTCTGCCAGGGCTGCCCTGGCCGGCTGATCTGTGCGGGTCTGATGGTGCGCCCTGCGGTCCCCGCAGGTGGCAAACACAGCGAGCGACATCCAGCCCTTGCTGCTCCACTGCGACACGCTGAGCGCAGCCCAGGAGCCGCTCTGCCACCCGGACACCTCCTTCAGCAGCCAGCTGCAGAGCGTGTCACCGCTCACCGTGGACAAGGGCCCCGAGGAGCTGCCAGAGGAGTTCGAGGTCCAGGTGCCCAAGGAGCACAGATTGCAGCCCAAGGTGCGGCCAGCAGTGGGGGGAGCGGGCTGGGGGTGGCTGGGCAGTGCCCCAAGTGTATCTTACCTATTCACCATCTGCCTCCAGCTGTGACTTATGTCTCTGCTCATGGTATCCTGGTCAGTTTTAATAATGCATGCCTGTTCTATAGTAAAGCTTCATCCTTATTTACAAATATTTGTTTTATAATTTTTGATTGGATTTGAAATATGCTTACATTATCACAAGAAATTTTAAATTATTTTTAGTGACAGTTTCAACTATTGTAAAATTTTAAAGGTTATGGAAGATAAGCTCTCATATTTCTGATCATCTCCTTTGAAAAATGCAATGTATTGAAAGGATTATGAGGAAGACATCTTAGTTAAGAATTACATATATTTATTTAAAGCATAAAATCTAATAGAAAGCTATGATTATGAAACAACCTAATATTCTTATGAAAATGTTGGAAAATACTTAATAATATTGCTTTTGCAGCTAGCAAGTACATTGAGTGACACCCAGCTCTTGAAACTCCACTGCAGAACATTATAAAACATTTGCACAAACTCCAGTACATAAACTTTCCCCAAACACTTTGTATTTTGTTTTTCCATAGGATTTGAGGAATATAGTTTTCTCACAAAACTCTATACAGGCATTCTTACTCTTGTAATTTCCAGGGAATATAACATGTAGAATTTTCTTTGTGTGCCACAATATGGAAGAGGTTGGGAAAGGATTTAGTCAGGAACCATGAATGTGGAGTATTGTTGCAAACCACAGTTATTTTCCCTGCCCGATAATTTATTGGAGAGCAAAACACTCAGTAAACACAGAGTAAAATACGTATTACCATTGATCCCCTAAAACTACTTCCCCTCTCAGAACACACCTTTTGCCACTTTCCAAAGCACTTCTGGAAATTTTCTTTCATAACTCACTGTAGTTGTGCTGTGGTAGCTGTCATGATGTCCTGAATCAATTAAAAACATTTCTCTTTCATGGTCATTTTCATTCTGGGAAAAAGCCAGAAGTCACATGTTGCCAGATCCAGTGAATAAGGTTAATGAGGACACCATAGTGTTTTTACAGTCCTCCCTTTCCTTTGAATGGCATTCGGCAGCATATTCATTACTTTTTTAATCATACCTCTTAAAGACACTCATGAAAGAAGACTTCCAGAACGGCATCAGAAAGTGGCAAGCATGCTGGGATAAGTATAGGAGTAAGGAAGCAAGAAGCGGTATTTGTGAAAAACGAGTGGTAATGCATCTTTTACTGTAATATTTTTTAATTTACACTTTCACTGTATATTTTGAATATATATAGGATATACTTTACATATATAAAGTTAAACTTACTCCTTTGAATATATATTCATCAGAATTTCTAGTACAATTAATAAGAGAGTCAGAAATCATATTTTATTTTTATGAGTAGCTCTTAAAAATGTTTATATCAATAACTAACAGGCATACACACCTGCTGACAATTCTGTATTTTGACAAAAATTCAGAATATCAGTCAGCTAGAATAATTTTTTTCCTATAGAACTCTTACTGAGAAGTTGGCTGAATTTAAACACTTCCTTGGTTTTTATTTTTAAGTGTTGGAGATTGCAGCCTGGGAACTCCACATGGTAGGCAAGCACTGCCACTGTGCTACACAGCCCCTCTCCGTACCTCAGTTTGTATAGCTCAGTAAGATTTTTCTACATCCCTAGCTTTTAGTTTTTACCATGATTATATGGCAGGTAACAGTGTCATGACAGATTTCAAATCATATTTTTCTATCAAACAGGAAAACGGAAAAAAATATGTATTATATATAATCTTGATGAATTAACACATATACTGTCCACACTACATTTTGATCATTTTTACTTCCTTTGCCCTCCTGTCTGTCCCTTCTTCATAATTTATTGACATCTTTTCTCTCCTCTATTTCCCTGCACCCTTAACTAACCTTTCTTCTGGTGACTTACATGGGAATGACCTAAATTTTTTCCCAGAGGTCTATTCTATGAATCCATGGTTTCTGTGCCATTCAAATAGTAGATTCTGCAATTGTCCATTCATAGTTATCAGGAAACATGGACATACTTGAATAAGCACTCAGTTCCCATACCTAGTTCTTCTTGCCCACATTTTGTAGCAGTGACCCTCATGGTAATCTTTTTTTAAAAAACATGGCATCAAAAGTCCAAAATATTTAGAAGTGGTAGTAATTCTAGAATTAAGTTTAGTGAGTCTAACCTCATGAGTACATTCCAGCCTCTTCAGCACACACACAATTGAAAAGCAGAGCATATATTTCTGTAGAGCCTAAAGTTATAGGAACAGGAAGTACAAATTTCTCAAGTGAGTCACTCTGGATCACAGTGACAGTATGAGACAAACGTGAAAGTGCAAGGCACATTTCATGGGATCTCATAAATGGAGACAAAGAAAGGTAAATGTCATATGATATCAAAAAGAGTTTACGAATCATGCTGAGGTTGTACTCTTAGAAAGTTACTGTTATGCAAAGGAGTTTTATTAGTGAGACCCAGTCAGTAAAGGTCACTTGAGAGCACTCTCTATAGAAAGGATAAAGAAGAGTAAGTAAATAGTGCAGGCCTAATCTTTCCTGATAGTACCTATAACTAAAGGGCTTGGAGGGGTAGGAAAAATAAAATTTAAGTAAGAGATTCACATTATCTTGAGCTCTTTAAGTTGGAAAGACAGAAGAATTCGAAAACAGAAATGTTAGTGAACACAAATGTCCTCCCTTCCTCGACTCATTTCTCAAAATAAAACCAACTGTCTCTTTTACAATGGAGCGACTTGAAGAATGTAAGATTCAATAATAAGTGTAAGTAGCAAAGGCTAAATATTAACGCAGCCTTTGATTTAAAAATAAAGTAGATATTGCCTTTAAATGTTTATCTCATCTTTCTCTATAGATAGACAAATAAGCAAGTACAGGCTCCATAAAAACAGCCATAATGACAAAACAAAACCCCTTTTGTTGGTTTAAAATGACTTTTTGTTCTTTTTTTTCCATTGAATTCATTTGACTCTTGATAGCTAATAGCACTTGAGAGTTAATGAGTATTTGGATTCACAGAAATTAGGACTTCACGGTACAGCAACAAAGCGTAAAGAATTAAAACAAATCTCCAGTCAGGTTTCTTTTTTGCATATTAAGGCAAAGGAACTCTGAGGGCAGATTGCCCAGCTAATGACTAGGTATCAAGACTTTCCCTAGAAGCTAAACGGATGTTAATGTGTTTTTTTTAAAACAGCTTATTCTTTGCTTTATTTGTGATTTTTATGTGGATGCATGGAAAGTTCCTTCAGAGGACCTACAAATACCCCTCTCGCAGACCACATATGGGCTGCCAGGTTCATTCAGCTTTGTTCTTGGAAAGTGGACAAAGCATTCCAGTCATGACAAGAAGTCTGAAAACTCTATCCTGCACTTATTTAAAGTTTGCTTTTATAGAAGCCTCAATGCTTTTATAAGAGGCTTGTGAATTCTGTCAGTTCTTTTGGAGAAAATTCTACCACAACTTTATTACTCCCTCATTCTTAGATTTTAATATTTATGAATGGGAATACTTATAATTATGAACAAAGATAAATTCTAAGTTTTAAGTTTATTTTAAACTACATCAGCCTTTAAAATTACTCCATATTACTAAATAATGGAGGTTGCTTTATTCCTTATTCATCGCACACGTTTAATTTTCCAACAACATAGTTTCAGTACAAATGATGCTGGATACTATCCTCAATACCAGGAAGACAAAGATGAGGAACTCCTCAACTGATCTTTCAGGGAGTCTACTGGAATACACAAAATAGAGTGCAATGTGTTAATGCTTGCTAGAGGATACCTTCTATCTGTACCCAAAGGTCTTTTTCAAAAAAATTTTTAAAAGGCAAACTTGTGTCACGTGTTCACACATGAGTGTCGGAGGTGGAGTGTTAAATGTTGAAATAATATTTGAAGAATACATAATTTGTATGCAAATGGAAAGGCTCAGATTCTAGAGATTAGAAAATAATCCCAGGGAGTTGTTTGGTTGATTTTGGGTTTTTTTTTCTATCCTTCTAGTTCTTCTGTTCTTCTGAACTCTTTCTTTCCTCAGTGTCACTATGAGGGCTGTGATCTCAAATTGGACACCGTTCCTCTTAGTCCCAGAACCCGCCACCAACTGGCACTTGCCATTTTTGCCTTTAAATTCAGATTAACAAGAAAGGGAATTTAACCCTCATGGATTAAGTTGGTATTCGTTATTTAATGAATCACCTTGCTAGACATTCCAGAATCCAGAGCCCACACAATAGTAGTATGCAGTGGAGGCAGCACTGGAAAACAGAGTTCTCCGGAGCACATGGAGGGATTGTCTACCTAGCCTTGCTAGGTCGGAGAAGGTGCTTCTGAAGATGAAGTGACAGCTAAGATGCAGCCTGAGAGGATTTTCTTTCATTCCTTTTATTCCCTAGTGACATGTAACAGAGATATACTGGAGCTAAGATTACACCTGAGTTTTGAGCTCTTCTATCTTCTTAGTCTATGTTAGTCACTCTTCTTGTTGCTGGAAAAAAGAGAAAGAGACACCCACAATTTAGAGAAGGAGAAGTTTAATTTGGCTCATGAATTCTTTCAGTTCATGATCAGATGGCTGCAAAGCAAGAATGTCATGATGGAAGGGCATGGTGGAACAAAACTTCTTAGTACTAGGAGGCTTGAAATAGCCCTGCGAACAACTCTAGAGAGGAAAGGGCAAGGGGCCAGGTATGGCTTCCAAGGTCCTCCCTCCAGGACCCACCCAGACACATCCAGGGGTGTGCTTCACTCAATCCTTAGACAGCTCCTAGGCCTAAAGTTCAGGACAAATTGTTAATGAAGCTTTACTGTTGTGCAGATCTAGAGATACTACTTGTGCAGTTTGTTGCACAGGATTTCCTGTCAAATTCCTGAAAGAAGCAAGGGACTATTAGTATTTGCTCTCATTAACAATGTAACTC